TTGTTTATTGTTGGTTAGGTTTGGCGAGTGTTGGTGTGTGTTTTATTTGTGTTTTTAGTGTGTTTTATTAGATATTTCATTCACATTTATTTATATAACATAATAATGTCTGATCATCATATAATCACATTTTTTTATTAATAAAAAAATGTGATTATATGATGATCAGACATTATTATGTTATATAAATAAATGTGAATGAAATATCTAATAAAACACACTAAAAACACAAATAAAACACACACCAACACTCGCCAAACCTAACCAACAATAAACAATAAACATGAACAAGAATGACATGAAATGATTCATAATTGGAATTGTCAAAATTTATTCTACAAAATCTCTGTGGCGACATCTATAGACTCTTTCCCCAACTTGTATATCCATCTCAAGTCACGTGGTTCCCAGAGTTTCCCCATTTTTTCAAGTATAAGTTCTCGGGCCCTGGTCAGCGTTACACTCCACTGAACGAAAAATTGATTGGATTGTTTTTCCAATAGCATGAAAATGTTTAAAAAACTAAAGTGCCTTTCTACATGCGCTTCCGTACGCATCTGGGGTCACTAACATATATCAAATACTTATATGTATAAGGGTCGCTAAACACGCTGGAATGGACGGTTTTTTTGCAGTGCTTCCGTATAGAAAAAAACGAAAAGGACGAAAACTGAAGATTTGGAAATAAATTAAATGCGGTTTTGGATTGGTCAGCGCCGTTATATCCACCGGAATTTTTTCAGATTGTTTCACATTTTGAGAAACTCGATGGACGATTTTGTCTTAACTTTTTCTTGTAATATAATAATAAGTGACTATAATAATAATTCTTTTTAGTCACTGTAATAATGTAATGTACATACATATTTGTCATATTGTAAGTTTGGTTGCCTAATATTTGCAATTATCAAGGTTTGGTCATATGGATTATTGTTCTCTGTAAGTTTGGTTGCCTAACGTTTTCAATTACAATCCAATGGCAGGTATTACTTTCAACAATGCAAGCTTGGTTGCCTAACGTTTGCATTAACTAATATCACAGACCTCTTTGATTGGGAATTACATTCCTTTTTTTAATTTTCACCTCCAGTGATTTTAATAAAAAATTACACTGAAAATGCATAGGACGATACACTTACGAAGAAACATGCCTTAGTAACTGCAAAACATAGAATGAACTGCAAGCTGCAGCAGTGACCATTACACCACTAATGTCTTTCTACCTCGGGTATCAGGTGTCGAATGCGGTTAATTCCAAGAACGTCACGCAGGAGTCTTCTTGAAATTCTATCTCAACCAGGCTAGACCAAAATCCTTGATCGTTTGGAAAGTAATGCACATTATATGCATGAAATAGTTTTCTTTCTCAATTATAGTTGTGGGGAAAAGCATAAAACTTATTTGTACGAGTTGCTCTTTGAACAATTTAAGAATATATCCTCTAGTGATCTACTTCCTCCAAATCTAGGCATTTCTCGAGTCAAATAGGTCAAAATTTTAATTTTAAAACGTACGTTTTGCAAATATGATTATTTGGTTCGGTAACAACGTTCATTACACTGCCGAGCCCAAAAAAATATCAAATAAAAAATACAGTGGAGATCAAAAATGTCTTTATTATATTTATATTTTCAATAGTGGAGATTAACAGACACTTCCGATATTAATCACATTTCTAGATAACCTTCAACAAACTACAGATGAATTCCCTGACTTTTACAGGTCACATACCGTGAGGAAATCGAATTAAAAAAATAATATATATGAAATAAATAAACATTTATTGAATTTACGAACGAATTAAATTAAAGGAATAACAAATATAGCCTGGCTTTAAATAATATCATATACTACAATTCCTTATATCACAACATCCCAACGGAGGGTCGGAGAAATAAATTACGTAACACAGAAATAGTCGAAAATAAATACAGTTATGTGTATTAAAACTAAATATCACAAAGCCGTTCCCAGGTTCGGACCGAGGAATAACTCCACCCAAACGGGACAGTAAGGGGAGACCGGCCCGCCCCACGTCCACCCGTTGGGGATCGCCAGGTGGGTCAAACCGTGCCGGACAATACCCTTCACTCCGGTGAGCTGTCGTTCCAGTTTACCGTTGTGCAAAATATTAGTGGTGTTATGTATGCTGGTTGGTAGCTTTGGATATATGAAGTTTGTGTTTGTACTGGGAGAGAATACTGGTTTCAAGTCCCCTACGGACAGGAATCCCTCTGGAAAAAAAATCGGAGTATAAATTTGGGTTGTACCTGAAAAATTATAAGTAACGCAATAATATATGGTACTGGATTCTAAGCAAAAAAACTCTACAAAAATAAACATTTCACAGTATCTCTTAAACGAATTAAGATATTCAGTTGCAGTTTACGTCATTTCATTTTTTTCTCAAAAATTGAGCCAGGGATACGAATTTGGTCCACCTTGTACGTTTCACTAAAACTGATATACAGACTGACTCAGTACAAAGAATTTAGGGACATATTTTTGAGGTAAAAATAAAACTTTTTTTCCTATAAATGTGGGTCCACAAATTCTTAGTTTTTGATATACAGGGTGTTAAAGTTTTTTATTTTGTTCGATTTTTTAGAATGTCAAATTTAAAAATGTCATTACTAATGACGCTGCTTGTAGATGGCGCCACCTATAAGGGTACGTTTGAATTAAATTGGAAATAACTTTTTTGCTACCTTATACATTGACATTTCGTATTAGTGCGTTTATTCCCTTATCAATTTTAAGAAAAAAGGATATACTTAGTCGAAATCTCTCAGACCAACAGTTTCCGAGATATTAGCTGATGAAGAGTAGAACGCACACCATATTTTCAAATTTTGTTGACTATTTACGGTGAATAATTTTAATATTTATTTTCACCATATAATCAGTAATGCAATGATCTTGAATTTTAGCTCTTTACATTTTTGTAATACAACTAACCGTTTTGGAAAAAATCACTGCCGACTAAACGGTAGTGTTGTCAATAGTCAGCAGTGAATTTCTTACATATTTAAATTTAGCATCCTAAAAAACCCCCGTACCCCAAGTTTTATTCCAATATTCAAATTTGTTTGGAAATTATTCCTAAAAAATTGAAAAAAATAAAAAACTAACATTCTGTATAATGAAAACTAAGCATTTGTGGACCAGTGGCGGCTCGTCAGGTGACGCATCGCTTCACCTAAAATTTCCATTTGGTTGCGCAATTTAAAATTATTTTTAATTTTATATAAATTTTATAATTCAGGTATAATTCTATATTGTGTTTGTTTGTTTAATATGCAGATATAAACAGAATAGTTGCACGGTGAACGCCTTCTAAAAAAAACATTGCTTTTGTAACAAAAGCGGGGACGCATGGTAATTTATTTATTAGTTCTCGAAACGGATGGGCTAAAATGTAAGATGTTTCAGTCAACACTAATTTATTTAAGTTAAGGGTTTTCAAGTAGGTTTAACGTCGCCACAAGGCCGTCCTCCAAGGCTTCATGAAATTTAACAGTATTTTTGAACAAGTTCACTTAGACTGTTGGGGCCATATGTTGAGCATCTAGTATAAAGAGAAAAATCGATATTTCAAATAACCCGAGAAATGCATTCCAAAGAACGTAGGAATTCCAAGAATAAGTTGTTAGAAGTTGTTAGAAAAATAATAATAGATCAAATAGCTGGTTTTTACGCGGATTTTCCAAGCTATAAGAATAGATTAAATGAGATTGACTAATCCGTCCCGTATTGCAACACGGAGTCACTACAGGAAGGCTAGGGTTACTTGCGAGTTCAGTTAGTAACAGAATTATTTATATAAATGTAAGTCCAGTCAATTAGGTAATTATTAACATAGTACAGTTATACCAAAGCGTCCCGATATTCAGGAGCCCACCAATAAGATAAGAACATAAACTTCTGGACCCAAGAAATGGGCGTGTCGAAGCGAGGTGTCGAATTCAGGAGAGATCTCCGAAAAACAGGCAGTTTTTCCTTGGGTTCCACATTGAGCAGTGTACTTAGTTTTAGAGTCTTGGTTAATTTAATAATGGATAAAGTCATTCCAAATTTTGCTATGGATCGCGCATTCCCTGAATCTCGGTATGCTCTGTCGTGTGTCAATAAATTAATTAATAATGTTGTTCGAGCCCGTTGTGTCATTATTTTGTTTGTTTATTTTGTTTTTATTGGTATTAAAACCCTTCCTGGAAGATTTGGTGTTCCTTTCTTGTTCTTCCAACTTAAGTGTCACCCTATACAACCAACCACTGGATTACCTTGTACATGAGCGACATACGGTAGGTGTCTGGTTTTCATTCTCTGAACGTACAACATTTCTAAGTTCCCACGTATTAATTAAAGTGTAATGATAATTATAAATTCCCTTTCGAGAAGTTAATAGTAAACTCTTTTGTCAGTTAATACCGTTATGATACTGGTCATAGCGGTAGATAGATAAATCAAGAAATAACCCCTCAGGTTACACCTTCGTTGAGCGCGAACATCAACCTCGTACCGTACAACGTTTAGTATAAGCAAGTGATGCAGATCGAAACAGTCTAAATTCCACTTCTCTTCGAACCATTGTTTACGGCAGTTGTCATGGCAACGAGGCGGCCAACATGGGAGAAAATTGGGGGAACGTGTGGAGCGGATTTTGAAGCAACATTGTCATCACCCATCGACTGCCTTTAAACAGTTTATATGATACGCGTCGCCCAGTACACGATTATAACTGTTCTTAGTTAATATTTGTTTTGTATAATAATTGTAGAAATGTTTCCTATGAATATTGGAAATGCCATTTTCCAGATGGAAAATCGAGGACAAAAAAGATTTTTTAAATTGCGAGAGACCTGCGTCTTATTCTCTCGATATGGAAAAAAGGAGAAGTCAAAAGACAATGTGTACGTTCGGAAGTTTTGGAATGAATGGTATTCGGAGTATAAGTGGTTGTGTGGAAGTGTTTATTTAAAAAAGCTTTTCTCTATGCCGTGTTTAATTGTGGGTGTAAAGTCGGGTGTGCGGAATAAGGGGGATTTAACAATTTTGGGAAAGTCACATGAGGCTGTCGTAACCACAAAGCTTCTTTGGATGGAACATACATGTACGGTGAATGGTAATGTTCGCAGAAATCCACAAGCCGAACTAATATTTCTATTTTTTATAAAATCTAAATGAAAATCCTTCTCACGAACGTCAGTTTTTCGGTAACATTCTAAACGCAACTAAAAATTTCCAATTCATTTAAAGCCGTTTGACCTTGAAAATTTGAAAAATTTCACCTTTTTTTTTTCTTTTTAGTCAATCAATGAATATGGTTTACCTATTCTCAATGTCACGATCCGCCACTGTTGTGGACTCATGTTTATAAGAAAAAAAGTCTACAAAATACGCCCCTAAATTCTTTGTACTGAATTTTGAATCAGCCTGTATGTTGTATATGAAACTCTCTATATTACCATAGTTATACATATTTCAGTTTAAATATGTTTGGCAAATTGTTTACTTAAAAAATAACAAGCAATAAATATGCATATTACAACAATAAAATGTGGAAAATATAAAAAAAACATTTCCACCGTATTAATTTTAAATGTAAATATATAAGGACTACCGAGAAATTTTTTTATTTATAACCTAGACTTTGTTTATTTTATATAAATTAAGGAAAAATTTCTTTTAAAATAGTTAAAACAAGGATTCACGTCAATGAACACTTACAGAACATATCATAAAAATTCACAAGCTGACATTTTGTTTATAAAACAATTCCTGTTTACTTTGAGAAAATTATTGACGTTAAAAAATATCGCAAGAAAAATATTTTTGACGGAAACTAACTGTATATTCCCGAAGGTTTTCAACCTCAAAACGTTTACATCCAAATTTAAACTGAAATTGTTTTTAAAAATGACGAAACTTCCTGGAAATTTTTCACTGTTTACTTTGAGACAATTATCAAATTCAAAGAAGAGGTTTTCAACATTAAAAAAATGAAACTTCCTATTTTTCACTACAAGGTACAAAAAAATTGGAAAGGACAAAGACGAGTAACGTATTAGACACAAACAAAATTGTTTTATTACGCACCTGGTTCGTCAACAAGTGACAAGTCCACGAATACCAGCAACATGTCGCCCTCGCACACCAGCTCGGCGATCTTCCTATTTAAAGCTTTGACGTCAGCCTGTTTACTCAACATCAAATTAACCAACTGCAAATTCAGTTCCCCAACGCGGAATGTCGCCACCAACACCTCACAGTCACTCTTCGTCTCCTCTGGACCTTCGTTTAACGATATTAAGTCAATATCAACAACTGCAAAAGATTAAAAGTGAAAAAATTATAAGACATATACATCTCGCAGCGACACACACCGCCATCAGAGTCATATATGAATCCGAGCTTGGAATCATGAACGTCCAGCATGCAAAAATTCCAGTTGTGGTTTCTATCCCTCCATTCTTTAATTCTCTGTAGTCTGGGCTTGTTCAATTCTTCACATATCGTCCGAAGGGCGGTCACATTCATCACGTCTTGCACAGCCACAATGGACCAACTGGAAAAATTAGTAAGTCACGAATAATTAAAATTCTATTCTAAAAAGGCACAAGTCCCAAAACAAACTTCGGACGGTAGACAATTTTGGCAATAACAGTTAATAATGTTACACAACCTTCAAATAAACTTATTCTACATTAGCGTGTTTATTTGGCAACTGTTTTAGATAACGTTTTGTTAAAATTTGTTCTGATCTGTGAACCTTCACAGTAATATGATGAAAACTAAATATGTGAACACAGCACTTTTCGATTTGATGAGTCTAAGTTTGATGTGTGTGTTCACAACATAAATGCATAAAACGAACGACTAGGGAAACCTTGTACGAGGAATGCTTAAACGATGAAATTCTCAACTGGAGATGTTAGATTAAAGGCACCATTAATACAAATAAATATTTGGATACCTTGCAGAGCAATTTACTGCTCACAGTCTCAAAAACTTACAAAAAAAATGGTTTGGATAATGGCATTAAAGTTTTAAGCTGCACCATATCAAAAAGTTTTTGCGAAAGAACCCGCAAAGGACAATTCTTGATCTCAGAAGAAAAATCCAGGAGATTTGGGAATTTTTCACCAAGAAATTTTGTAGATCCTTGGTCGACACTATGTCAAAGACAATTTGCTATAAATTTGTTATAAAGGCCAAAGGTGAAATACTAAATCATTAATAAACTTTTTTGTCCAAACATCTACTTGTCACCAAGGTTGACAAATATCATGATATTTATATAAATATCAAATATTGGATATATATCTTGATATATATCAGATATATGTCAAGTCTTGATATTTATTTTTTTTAATTAATTAGTATAGTATATTATAGTAGCGAAATAAAATTAAGAAACTATTTAGGTAAATATTTTTATTCCAAATATCAAAAACAAGAACGAAAAAATAAGTATAAATTCTGAAAATCTAATAAAAAATATTTGCGTGAATATTAGGTACTACGAAAACTAACCAATTTACAGCAAAGTCAACATAAATTTCATAAATATTAAAAGAAATACAAACACACAGCACCTGCTCGAATTGACTAACACCTGGAGAAATAATGAAATAAAAGTATTCCTTCAATAATTTTACTTTGTTGAGGAATTCGGGGAATCACATAAATAAATACGTTCGTCAACTATTAGCATATAGTTTTGCTGCCATCTGTTTTAGCAATTTTAAACCAGTACGAATCATTATTTAAATTTTTATAAATATCATGATATATATCAAGGAAAAAATATCGTGATAGATATCAATGATATATATCGAATATATATCATTGATATATATAATGCCAACCTTGTTTGTCACATTTTGTAGCTTTTGTTTAATTCTCATTCAGCGGTTTTTATTTTATAAAAAATATGTGTCAATGAGCTTTCTCGACTATTGAATTTGTATTCAACATTATTTGTACTATTGTGTTGAGGTGAACTTTAGAAAACTTTATTTAAAAATTGCATGAAATTTATAATAAATAATATGCCGTTGGAACATTTACTTGTTAGGCCTAGTAGACATCTTTAATACCAACCAGAATAATGAACACTAAATTATATTAATGATTCAAAATATGCTAATGGACTTTTCAATGATATCACACACTCTAATTGACACGGTATTTATGTACCTTCGGAAATCTATTGACAACACACGTATGACCTACCAATTTGCAGATTTTTGTTCCAATTTTAAGGTTTTTTGAGTCAAAAATGTCAAAATTTTTACACACATTTTAATTTTTAAATGCACAACTGTTAATATGATTGGTTTACCTTCTAAATATCAAACTTATTTCTTGATACAATTTTTCAGTATCGTTAAAAATAATGGTCGGCTGTTTCCTTTTTATATTTCTATAAACATTTAAAACTATATATTTTTTTTTAATAACACATTTTTGAATATTTGAAATAATGCAGAAGTTTTTACAAAAAAATTAATTTTCTCAATAATCTACGAATACAAAAGGTATATGGAGAAAAATAAACACTTTAACTGAGCACTCAAGGATGTTGTTACAAATGTACTACTTTATGACAAAAAATATTTAATCCACTTTTCTACACAATTTCTTATTTTGGACTAACATAGGCAAGAATTTATCAAATATAAACTCGGCAAAAAAATTTAAGGAGCAGAGAAATTTCCAAATTTTTTTAGTGACTTTTGAAAGGCAGCAACTTCATGATAATGGTCGTATCAAGAAAAAAAAGAAGCATCTTGAAGCTTGAAGATTCTAGTTTTGAAATATTGAGATGAAAAATTTTTTTGACCGTCACAAAAGGCAAAAATTTTACAATTTTTTTTTAAAATGCCCAAAATTTTTTCTAGCTTAATCAATGCCAAGGTCATTTAGCCTGATTCATCAGCTTCAATTTGTTTTTTTTTTTATTTTCTTTACGATTATTTCTCATTGAGATATCGGCTATTAAGTGAGAAGTCATCTTTTTTTTATCATCGATATCGCATGAAGTAATGATCGTACAATAAAAATGTTTAATGAATAATGCTTTTTATGATATTGAACAGTTTTTTGTGAGTAATATTATCTAATTTAATTATTACCCTGTATATATTTGTTATTATATTATATTCTATTTATGATTTTAATTATGCACATTTTTTTTTACTATTTTATTGTTTTAATGTTTTTTTTTTTTTCTTTCTTTTTCTGTTTTGAGGTGTGTAAACACTGTGTAATAACATGAAATTTAAAAAAAAAACAAACTGAAGGTGGGTTTCAGAAACCTTAATCAATCCTCTTTAAGGACCTTTTGCTATGTTTGAGAAAAAAAACATTTCTTTATATTTACCACTAATTTGAAAAAGTGCGAATAAATGCCATTTTCTGCTGTTTTGGAAAATCAACGACTACTTTGCAAATTTTGCGAAAAGTACCAATGTTCACGGGTTTATTTTTAACTCAATACGTGCCCAGGAGGCCTGTAAATTTTGAAATCGATCGGCCGAACCGTTTTCCTTTCCTAAATCGTTAGTTTTATAAAAAATTAAAGAAGCAGGTTTATTGCTCCTTAAACAGCAATTAATGATTAATCAAATATCGAAAAAAAAAATTGAAAATGTTGAAAACAAAAATTCAAAATTTTGATTTTAAATTTTCAAAAATTTGATTTTTTTTTCAATATTTTGTTCTTTTTTTCGATATTTGATGAGTATTTAACACAAAACTGTGAGAAAAATAATGCAAAAAAAATTTGTTTCATTTTTAATTAGTAACAAATTTGCCCCTTTAATTTTTTATAAAACTTTGATGATTTCAAAATTTACAGGTCTCATGGGCATGTATTGAACTAAAAAAAAAATATACAAACATTGACACTTTTTGCAATATTTGCAAAGTAGTCGTTGATTTTCCAAAACAGCAGAAAAACTCATTATTTTGCACTGTTTCAAATTAATGCTGAATATAAAAAACATTTTTTTCTCAAACATAGTAAAAGGTCCTTGAAGAGAATTGATTCAGGTCTCTAAAACCCACCTTCTGTTCGCTATACAATCATGATAAAAAAAGGTTACTTTATTCAATCGCCGATATCTCAATGAGAAATAATCGTACAGAAAATAAAAATAATAAATGGAAGCTGATGAATGACCCAGGCATTGATTAAGTCCGAAAATAAATTTCTGAGCCCATGTGCAGTTTTGAAAAATAAAAGATTACAAATTCCAATGTTTTTCCAATCACAACTTCTCAAGTGGATTAGAAAACTCTAAAATCACTTTCTAGAGGGGCACCTCGATGTTAGGGTCAAAAAACGAACTAATCCAAGAATTTTGACGAGACTCCGATTCAGTGGAACAAAATGCTATCTCGCCACTTTTTCTGTGATAAAAATCGTAAAATAAAGTTTCTAAAATATTGTTTAAATATTTAGAAAGAAAAAAATTGTTCATTATACATAATTAACATTTGTAAATAAATATTTTATGAGTTAGCCTTATAAGTTTTTCTGAAAAAATATTTTTTGTTTAAAATTTTTGTAAATAACTGCTGTGTATTTTAATGTTTAATGTTTTAATAATTCCTATGCATATTTTAATGTTGATTAAGTTTCATCTTTACTACCAAAAAAATCGAGCAACATATTTATTCCAAGAAGATTTTATATATTAAACGATTCAAGCTTCAATGTAAATAAAAGTGTCGATTAAATATTTCCAAAAATGCACTTTGCAACAATAAAAAATAAGTCATATATCAATTAATCCCTATCAAACAAAGCCCAAAATATAAAGAACAACTTCATTGTAATTCGACATGCATATCAAGTACACATAAATTACAATTGCCCATTATTATTATTAAGCATGACTGATTGATAGATTGTTAAACGGGGCATTGTTACACGTAGTGATAACTTAAAAATAGTATACATTATGAGCAATAATGTTTTATGAAGCTCCATACCCTTATCAGAGCTCTTATCAAAAATTAACATGATGTTTTAATAGAAGGATTAATTTTGTGACAAATGTTATCAACAAAATTTCCTGTTTCGTCTAGTATGACATAATAGGGCAAAAATGAAGGCCTAATAGAGAACATTCTACATCAATCAATCTTTAAATGCGAGGTTAAATAGAACACCCACAGATTTATTATTTATCATGAAGTGTTATTTCAAAGGCGGATATAAAATTCCTACTACTTAATGTTTGGATTATAGGATTCGTAAAAATTATTTAATTCAAATCTAAAAATATTATTTCAAAGTTGCGATGTATTAGAAGAAAATATGATTCCAATTTTTATTTGGCAGAGAAGTTGTAGTTTATTTATAACTGTTTAGTAATAAGCTTCTGTAGTAGTCAAGATTAATAAATGGGATGGTCCGAGATAATGCGCAAATATTTATTTTTTAGATCCGAAATTTATTTTCTAACGTTTACATTTTTATCATGTATTTGTATAAAATGATGTTTTAGTAATTTATTATGTATATTTAAAGCACAACTGCAATATTACTATCAGACTTTTATTTCCTCAAGTAAACGCTGCTTTATCATTTTTTACATTCCAGAACATTTTTAATTTAAAATAAACATACAAATAAATATGTTTGCGGTTTAAAAAATGCTATAAACCTTCATGGAATATGTGTAAACATTTTTGTAAACGGAACTTATTTATTTTAAAATATTCACAAAATATTGTTTTAAAATATTTGTATACCTACTAGAAAATATTTTCTAAAGTATCTAAAATAACGTAAGTATCTAAAGACGAGACACTTTTAGGAAAAAATTTGTATGTAAGAAAAATAGTAAAATTGCAACTTTCTGTATCGCATATAAAATAGTTGAAAAAACTTACCCATTTTCCAAAATAGTCCTGCAAATCACCTCTTTAACCCCCAAATTGTTCGCTTTCTCATACGAAAACTCGTGCATATTCCAAGAACCCATTCTGATGGCCGGCTCACCATTCCTACTGAACTTAAAATCTTCCTGAAGCACAGGCCTAGGAGAGTACGCAGACAGAAGTTCGAATATATCGAATGTTGAGGAATGGGTGAGGCCGTTCGTTAAGGGTAACTTTAATGGTACGCTACTACACCTGCCGTTTTGATACGGCATCGTATATCCGTTGGTTAATATGCTTGGTCTTGGCTCCTCCGTTTCAGAGGTATCGTTCTCATAATTTTCGACAGTAAGGAATCTGCTTATGTTGTGCAGCCTCATGCGGTCTATGTTTTTTATTTTTTTCAAATCCTCTACCTACGACAAAATAATATTTAACTCGAATGTCTAAAATAATTTGACATACATAAAAATATTACTTCGGGGAGTGTTTTTTTTGTGGTTGCATATTCAATACATTAATTTTCGTTTCTTTTGATTGTTAAAATTGCTAAATATAACAAAATGTTTCTAATTTAACTGACCTTGATGGCTTTAAATCATTAGTATATTTGAAAATATATTGTTTGCCTAATAAATACGCAATTATCAAACAAAGAAAACTATATACATAAAATATTAATAAAAATTGAATCATATGTGAACTCGTTTACATATTTTATATAATAGATGTAAATTATATGATTATTGTTAACTAATAATGTGACAACATATACTAAACAATAAATATTAGGTATTCTACAAAAACTGAAATATTTTTTTTTTTGTGGAAAATTATTCATATTGGATTACTACAAAATCCTACACAAAGAACAGTTATTAAAACAATTTATCTACAGATAAAACAAATTCCATTTTAAAAATAATGTAGACTCAGCTAACGTCAACATTTAATCATACTAACCTGTCGAAAGGGTCCCCTTTTATTCCTGTAATGTACAATCGCAGCTGCGATTTCTTGTGTGACGCCGTGGACAGTTTGAAGTTCAAATACAGTGGCTTTATTAATATTAATAAGCTTATTGGATTTCACTGTAAGCCGAGAGTCAGTACTACGCAAACTATCATAACTGGGAGCTCTAGAAGATGCACAACTATGGTTTTTTCTTGAAGATACACATATTTCCGGGCGGATCATTTGGAGTTTATCCGCTCCTACGCCTCGTACTAATGCTAGGTCCTCAGTTTTCCTGAATCTACCTATAGCTTTTCTATGCTCCACTATACTCCTTGCTATTTCACGGTTCACCCCCGGCAGGGTCATTAGCTCTTCTTCACTGGCTATATTTATATTCAACTGTTCTATTCTATCGTCATTGTCATTTATTGTGAAGGTATGGCTTAAATGATGCTTCGGTTGGACAGACCTTCTAAAGGAAGAACGGAGGGACTTCCTTCGGCCTCTCGGTAAGCTTGGATTTTGACCCATATCTGATGGATACTGTACCATTAGCACACCTCCTTTACGTGTGAGAAAAGATGAGTAACTAATCCAACTTGTTCCTTAACAGATAAGCTATCTAGCACTTCGTATTAGACGAAGGAGTCAGCATTATTCACGTGATGATTTTAAAAATAACATTTTAGATTCGAAGTATCACACCTCACGCAACTGTCTGTACGATAGTTCTTTGCACTTTATCAATCAAGTGCATGATTACCGTACACCGACTGTTATCACAGGATTACTGGGTACAACTTTTATATGGATGTTTTTCAGCTAGCATCGTCAATGACGTCTATTTGATACGTCGATTTTCCATGTGATAATTAGAATAGAATAAAGAACATGAAATTTGATCCATGTAAAACTTCAAGATGAATTTACAAAAGATTTATTCTACTAAGATTGTCGCCAAATAATATTACAGCAAAATTAAATTGTCATAATTTCTAAAATTTCTAATTGCGAGATACTAAACACTTCAAAATCACTAAACAAATTGATAAAGGACAACCAAACCACAGAAAACAAAAAACAGATTTGAATCTTATCGAATCACTCCAATCTAGAAGTAAAAGTAAAAGTGATCTATGATACTGTAAAGGAATCTACATTACCAACTACAAGAAAAGAACAGAGATTATAAAAATTAACTATTGAAATTTAAATCCACCGATGGACTTCACCACAAATGTGAAAATTTAATAAAGCCATAATCTATATACAAAATGTGTCATAAAAAAATTAACGTTTTAATTATATCCGTTTAATATAGTAGCGCCACCTATTATTAATTTGTAATAGCAACTGCATGGGCGTAGGGATTAGGAACTCAACTACACTACTTAAGTTGTAATAATCATTTAACATTCTTCGTTGAAAATTTTAGTTAATAAAGAATACAACATGTTTTCATATAATTTGAAATTGGTATTATTATTTTCACAGACTTCTATAATATACTAACTAGAAGTCTGTGATTATTTTGTATAAAATGTTCCTTCTGAGGAACTGCATTGAAATGAAGGTCGTTTCCTTAGCAACCAATTGTTTGTATTTACCCGTCAGCTTAACATTTCTTTTCAATTTCATAACCTTAATCTAATAAAATAATTTCATATCTGTAACAGAGACAACCCATCTGTAAGTCGTAGCACAGAATATCCTAGTTGGTCGTAGATTGATGTTAATCATAAATAAATGTTTCGTTACCTGCGGTTAAATATAATGAACATTTGGTTTCAATAAAAATGTCTGCGGATGATTACAAATGGCATTTTGACTATGTAAGATTAGCTTGGGATGCTGGATTTTCATTTGAAAAATACAAATATTCAAATTTAGATAAAAATAAAATATGTAAGTCAATGAAAATCATTTTAAAATGTTTTCTAAAGTAAATTTATATTTTAGGTTTGGTCGATATAGATCGCATAATAAAAGAGAGAGATGTAGCCTCAGTAGAAAGATTTCTATCCACAGTTGTTCAGTATGTCTTAGAAAACGACCAGGCGGAGTTATTAGATACCAACTTTGTTAAAATGTTTAGAATAAGTCAGTTGTCAGTAGAATATTTATTATTTTGTAAAAAGTATTTGGATAATACTGTAGTATTGCTTAAAAAGGAAATATCTAAATTAAAAGAGGTAATAAAGATCGACATATGAACCTATTTATTTTGAAACTTTACCTTTTAGGAAAATAAAGAATTAAAGTTGTTTGTGGAGGAACTAGAAACTCACATATCTGCACTGACCAAACATAGTTGTGTTGCCACATTTAAATGTGACAAATGTCCTAAGGCTTTTTCTAGTGAAGAGTATTTAAATTCGCATATAAAAAGGAGACATAACGATGAAAATAGAACTTCTACAAATGCAGAAACCGATCAGTTGCAGTCAGAAATAAAGCAGTTAAAAGAAAGGTTAAACATTACAGAGAAGTTATTACAAGAGAAGGATGAACAAACACAAAATGTCAAGTTAAAAGAGAATGAAAATGAAAATAAACTAAAAGTTATCGAAATATTGGAAAAATTTGAGAAGTTTAAAGATAAGGTAGAATATGATATAAAGATGTTGCAAATAGAAAAGAATTTTTATGAGGAAAAGTACAGCAAATTGTTTGATGTGGTTTTAGAATCGAATAAAAAAGAAAACGTAAACACCGAATCTTCACAGCAACCACGGTCAGTAAGCAAAGATCAGATACAACAACAAGAAAAAAGTTTTCTAGAACATATTGTTGACAAAATCGAAACTACTACACAGACCGAAAAGGAAAATATCCCAACAAAAAACTTACAAATTGAAACAGTGCACAATAAAAATATTTTTGAATTTAAAGACATGGATAAAGATTCTGATAGCACGCTTGAAAAAAACAATATACAAGACACCATAGAACAGAAAATAACTCAATTTGAAGAGCAACTAGAGTCAAAGGTATGTAATTATTCAAAAGCGGGAGTATTTCAGTAAATAAGAATATGTTTCAGATCTCGTCAGGTCTGAATAATATAGAAAAACAGATGCAAGCATTTTGGGGCAAATTGTCGGAGATTGAATTACAAAGGGAAGTCAAGGTTGAAGAAGAAGTTCAAATTACACCACCGCAGGAACTCATTCGAACAGAAACATCAAAACCGAAAATTAAACCCAGAATGAAATTTAGTAAGCCATCAAAATTAGTAGGTAGAAACGAAGACAATGCTAAAAAAATAAAGGCAGAAATCGAAAGAATGTATGTTAAGCCAGAAACTACGGCAGTATCGGTAAAAAATATATCAGAAAGCAACTTGAAAAAAATATCAAATGTATTATACAACAGTTCACCTTCGCCTGAATTGCAGAAGAGAAGCAGCTCTGACAGTACAAGTGATTCCGAGAGTAGTAGTGTTGAAGTTGAACCAAAGAAAGTACATGATGCTAAACCATCTGTCTCAACATTAGGAAAACGATCTCTTACTAGGTAATATTCAGCCAAATATTCAAATTTACAAAAAATACTTGACAAATTTTTACTATTTTATGCGATCTGTATTAAATAGGGTTGTTCCCATTTCTTTTAAATAATTTTTTGCAAAAATTTGCATTTAATATTTAATTTAAAAAAACCGGTCAGATCATTTTTAGTTTTTAAAAAAGTGGTTATTTTATTTCTCAAAATTAAAAATAATTCTTGAGTCTCAGAAAACATGGGAATTATTAGTCAAGTTCTAACATCATCCATTTAAACTTTACTTCAAAATAAAGTCAACGTTAAAAAAAATGTTTTAGATTTTAATTCTTTTCAACTGATTTAATTGTGGTGCATTCATTTTTATTTTGGACTCCTTACATATTTTTTAGAGTACATATTTATCAGTATTACAAGTTGAGTTAATGATTCCAACTAAAAATTCCACATATTTTGGAAAAATATATTTTTTTTAATTTTGGCTTGTTAAAGTACCTAATGCCATTTTCTCTTATACCAAAAGTCTCCAAGTATTTATGTTGCTTTTTTAAATTAAGACAAACGAACCTTATTCGAAATTAAAAGTTTGTTTTTTTCTAAAATCATAGTGTTTTCCCTTTTGATATAAACATTTTTTCATTTTAAAAAATTTTCAAATTTCCTGAAAACTGGAATTATCAGGGAATTTTTTGGCTAAAATTTGGTATACACCCAGATTAACACATATTTTTTCACTTTTTGATTGTTTTTAAAAAATGAAGTACAAAATATATATGTAACATTATATCAATTATTATGTGATTATTACTATTGGCCACTATTGGCACCACCAATTTAACAACATAATAAGATTTAACTGGATTCCTAACGTAAATGCAATAAAAATTCTGAAGCTTCCAGTCATCATTCCTCCTCTTGAATTTTATATTGAGGAATTTCAATACAACATGAAAAATATACAGGGTGTCTGGTAAATAATGGATAAACTTTTAATCGTGGATGGGGGACCCTAAGGTCATTCAGAAAATCGGCTTTTATCTTAGTACAGTCTCTTTGTTTTTCAGTTATTTCGTTCTTTTTTTCGGAATTTTCGCCATAGGTTACTTTATTATGGTCACTACGACCACAAGAGAACGTATTATCTTTCAGTTATTTTGCATAATATTCTTGAATTGTGTTATCACAATTTTTAACTAGCAATAGTAGTTCTTGTTTAAAAAAATCAGACAATTTGAACATTTACTGTAATTTTTAAATAAAATTAAGTAATAACTGAAAAATACGTTTTCTTGTGGCCTAGTGACCAATAAAGTAACCTATGGCGCAAATTTTGAAAAAAAAAGAACAGAAGTAACTGAAAAACGAAGGGACTTTGTATTAAGAGAAAAACTTTAGGGTCCCCCATTCACAGTTAAAAGTTATCCATTATTTACTGGACACCCGATGTATGTTTTATGTTGAATTTCAGTTGCGGAAACGACCTTATTGTTCTTAATAAATTTTAGTTTAAAAAAAGCAGCTCAAAGCAAAGAGGTAACCGAGAAGTTACGTGAAGAAATAAATAATATTATAAACAACAGACTTCAAGATATCGGTATTTCCCCTAATTGGAATGGCATACCTCAGAAAACATTCGAAAAAGCTATGGAAATTGTCCGACATCAAGCAAATATAACAAAAAAGGTATTTTACAGTACCATTCGGAGACCTCTTTATTTAACTCTTTCTTTATTTCAGTCATATCCCGAATTTGATTCTATCAAAAAATCTATTGAAAAGTCTTTGAAAGATAATAAGGATATAGCTCAAAAAACGAGAAATCGTGTTACTCCGACTAACAAGCAAGCAAACGTAATAAATATCAGATATAGAAAAAAGCCAAAGGAATTAAAGTAAGCAAAACTTTTATAGCCAATGGAGTTATATGACTTAAAATTTCAGTTCTCATTTTCTTACGAATGATTAGTCTGGTTTTGACGGTTTTATTTTTTTCAAACAAACTTCTAGCAGTGTTGTTACTAAAAAATAAACCTATATCCTTTTTAAGGGACGAGTTAATTTTGCGAAATTAATTTTTCTTTCAGATCCGAAGCCGAGAGCAAATCTTTAGTAACTATCAAGAATAGATCCCTCTACGACACGGACAGTGACAGCGAAGACCTACGACGTCCTACCACTCAAGTTAAATCACCTAAAAAGCTGTGGGAAGCCGCTCCTTCGTATTCCGCAGTGATTCAGGAGCTTAAGGCATCTCAAACCAAAAACGTAGACACTGACTCCGACGTTAACTCAATTATACTTCCAAAGGAAGATGTAGCAAACGACATGCATACTAAAAGCGCCTTAAAAAATTACCCCTCTATGGGATCTTTAACGAAAAAGAAAGTATTGTTCGATATCGAGAGCGATAAGATTGAAGTAGATAAAGAAGCAAGGGGTAGTTTAACGAGCATCGATAGTTCCGACGTTCTCAAAGAGGGTGATAACGAGAAGAAAATGAAGAAAAACGAGAGCAGTTTGTCGGATTTCGATTTTAGTGAATTATAAGGAAAATAGGAAATATTTATTTTTATTTACAATTACTGTAACAAGGTTTAAATATGCAAAATAAATTTATTTTTCTAAAACTATTTTATTTAAACGAAGAAACTACGAAGTAAATAAACTCGTCTTAAGATAGTTTTTGCAACAATTCCATTTTCTTGTTGTACTCGGCTGATAGAATCTGTACGTTTCTTTTTTTGTTAGCCAGTTTCTTGTTGATCTCCTCAAAATCTTTATATTCGTATATATCGGCAAAAACAAGTTTCAAAATCTTTGGCCTTTCGTATGCGCTTAAGTTGTTTGGAGATTGCTTCAGTTTTTCGTAAGTTTTCTCAAGTTGAGCTGCGGTGTCTTCAATCGAAAGCAGTTCAGTATTCAAGTCAGTCAATAGGTTGGTTAGGGTTTCTCCTTGCTAAGAATTTATATTTAAAATAGGCGAATATACTTATACAAAGTATACTTACAAACTGAGAATAGAGCGCTTTTAATTCATTGTCCATATCTGTCATTTTCTTAATAAAATCATCGCTTAAAAAATCAAAATGTTAACGAAACTGTCACATAGATGTATTGATTTGCTTACGATCTTTGTTGAAGTTCTTGATTTAGTTGTGAAATGCTTTCCTGCACGATTTTCTGTTGCTTGTTTAAGATGGACAATTTATTGTATATCTCATTCAATTTCTGTAGATTTTTGTCTAAAGTAAATTTTAGTTCTAATAAGTTCTCACTTCTTTCATTTCTTTCTTTAATCAAATTTTTGTAGGAATTGAACTGCTTTTGGAGTTTAATAGTAATTTCATTTGTTTCGTCGAGGGACTTTTTTATATTTACATCCTAGAAAAAAACAGTTATTATTCTGTATACAGAAATTCCATTAAATAAATCATATTAAAAGAAACATAAAAATTATAAATTCAAATATTTTTATTTTTGTGTGAAGTTCCTAGATTGATCTCTTTGATTATTTCCCTGTGTAAAGTCCCTAGACTGACCACGGAATACATACAAAGTGTGCAAGTTTTTTTTCCCAAAAAGAGTATGCTTGAACCCAGCCACTTAGAAGCAGGTAACTTAATTTTTTTAAAGTATTTTATATTCGAAGGTATAAACAACCTCCAGAGCGATAAGCTATACAGCAATTTATTTTAAAATTTTCATCCATTGCAATGTTTTGACTGAATCAAAAGTAATAGTTTATAGTTTACAACAAGATATTTTCAGATATTTTACAAGTTAAACAAAATGCAGAGCAATTCTGTCTCATTGTGTGATAAAAATCATGCAATTTTATCCCCGTAATTTTATATCATCAATCAATAACAATAAAGAAATAATTTATGGTGCGCCCATATTTTTTGTATTGTATGATGACATGGGCGACATCTACATAGTAATAGTAAAAGTAGGTACTCTATGAAAAACGATATCACAGAGAATAAAGTTTCTTTAATAAACAAATATTTAAAAATTAATTATAGTAATTTTTGTTTGCAGTAAATCTGAACATAATTAAATTTTTTATAAATAAGTTTGAAATATAACCTTGACTCTTAGCTTTTACATTATGTAGGTACAGTAGATAGATACTCGCATGAGTAACTACATAAATACTCATATGGACATACTTAAACCTACCACAGGTAGGCATTTGCCAAATAATAATTTAAATGGTACGGAAATGTAAATACACTTACCCAGCTAATGACATTAACCTTTGACGTAAGACAAAATATTAACTTACCTGAAGTTCACATCCTTCTAAAATCGACTGGTAGTCGAATTCGGGTTTTACGCCTAACATTTTTATTTAATGAAGTTTTTTTTTATTTTGATAATATCAACTTTTCGAATAAATATTTAATCAATAACATTAAGAAAATTAAATAACGTTAATAATATTGTGTTGTTTTTTTGTTTTAATAGTTGTCTTATGCACAGCCACCTGCAATAAACGAGTCTACTGATTCGGGCATTTGGCGTTATTTAAAAATTTTCTCGGCATATGTAGGTATTATATCATTTATTTAATGTTGTAAATAAATAGATAGGAAGGATTGTTCATAAGTATGGTTCCATGGCAGGTATGCGACTTATACTCGTAGGTACGAGTTTCGATTAAAAAACTTTGTTGTATTGTTGTTTATAAGTTTCCTCCCTCGAACAATCGGAGAATCGGATAATACGCCACGGCATGTAAAACAGTCCCATTAAAAATCATCATGCATATAGCGGACACTCTTCGCATAACAAGACGAAATGTAGGGTGATAAATTAAACTCCTACACAGAGTCCCAGCGTAATAAAGCGGCAGAGAGTGCGTAAGGCGACTAGAATTTTGAACATTAAAGCGCTAAATTGCCCAATTACCTAAACCGTGACGAAAACCATGCTAACAATTAAACTTTTATTATTATATTAGCGGAAAAATGAATAACGCGCTGCAGCAGCGGGAGTTTGAACTCGCCTGGCATAACTGCACGTATAAAACAATATATTGTGTAGTGAAAATGACAGAATGATAAGGAACAGATAAGGATTTCCTCAGTTACACTCAAACGATTCAGTCATATGTGTGTGTGTTGTGTCATTTTTATATTAGGCAGTGAATATTTTTATTTATATTTTAAATAGCATAAGATGTGACTTGTGAAGTTTTGGAGAAAAGGGTAGGTACAAAATATAACAATTTTTTGTTCTATAATGTACGCCCTTATATTTTTGATGAACAGTCATAAAATAATTCCCAACAGCAACGTCATGAATCTTATTAGGTTGTTGATAAGAGAGAGCAATATAATGTGATAAAGGTAAAAGATTTTCTCTAGATTCCGTGGGTTTTTTAAAATTATTTTCCGAGATTTTTTAAGACCTAGGATATCTCAATAACTTCAAATAACTTTTTATCTTCGAAATGGAAAGGTAGCTGCTTCTAGTTGTGTGATAATGATCACTGTAATACTTGATAAATTATATAGTTTAAAGAAAATATAATTTGATTTGCTCCTCTTTGAAATAATTTTTTGAAGCAAATTCTATCTCGGAAAAAAACGTGTCTATCAAAGCGTTTTTTAATCTGTGTAAGTATTATTTTCCTTGACATATTTGAAATGCTTGTCACCAATGTATCATAACCGTTATAAATATTGAACCTGCGAATTATAATTGCAAAAACATAAGAGACACAAACAGAGAGTATTTTTTTAAATAGATGTTTGCTGAATTACTCCTATACAGACCTTAAAGCTGTAGTAACCGCCCATACGTAAACAGATATGTACAGAGTGTACATACTTACCTACATAAAAAAATCTTTTATTTTTTATTTGCTAAACGATCTCTCAACCTTTTTACCAATGAACATTCTTTAATTATTTCTTTACGACATAAATGAATATAAAAATAAAATAAATTTTTATGTGTGTACTTTCTAAACTGTTAACACAAATCGAATTTATTTTACTACGCAAATTTATTCACATATAAATTAAATTTTATTTTGTCCCAATTTTCAAAGTTTACTCTTTTAAAAATAAGAACAATTACATAATAGTTTGGTTATACCTATGTCAGTTTTATTCTACAAGAATGGAAACGTATTATTATTAATTCAGTGGTAAAAAATCTAAGAAAAAGTTATCGGCATAAAGCAATATTTAAGGCACTGATCTCACTATATAAGCTGTATCTTAATGAAAGAGCAAATATACATTTGTATCTAGATAGCACATGTAACTTGTATTTAATTTCTATAAGATTAGTGTTATCTAGTTGATTAGATACTTACGTATCTCTAGGTATCTGCGATTATTGAAACAGTTCGTTTACAGGCCCATTTATTCAATGTCAGGGTTTGCGTTAAGGCGATTAGAGTATTTATTACTTTTATGTCTAGAAGGCTAGGGTAATCATGACGTTAGAATAGTAGTAGTGGTCTCATTTGTCAACCCAACATACATTATGAAATTTGAGATAGTTGATCTTAGATTTTATTTTGGTTTTTTAATTGGTTTTTATTTTTACGGTTTCAGGTGAAAATGACGAGTGTTAAGATCACGGTTGTGGGCGACGGTGTCGTAGGGAAGACTTGTATGCTAAGTGCTTATACAACTGGTGTCTTCCCTGAACAGTATGTACCTACAGTGTAAGTATCGAATTATAAACGCCTTTTTACAAAAAATATCAAGTTTTAATATTTTTGAATAGTAAAAGTTTACAAAAGTGATTTTCGTAAAAAAATTAAATGAAGTCAGATAGTGTTAATTGATACCAAAAATCTAGGTATGCTTAACTTTTGACAAAGATCAACACATAAAAATAGCCACTATAGAAAGATGTCAATTTATTTTTGAAATAATTAATGATAATAATAATTCGTGTAATTACGTTAACTATAAATGGTTTCCATCAACTGAACACCCTATATTTTTCCGAGATTTATAGGAGTTTGTTTTATCTATTTATTGTAACAGAGAATTCGTTGTTAGATTAATCAAACATTTTATTACACCCACCATTAATATATAGATAATTTTTTAACAGAAACCTCTTACAATCTATCTTACGGCCACTAATAACAAGACTCCATATTCTGAAATAACTATTAAACAAAAATATAGCCATAAATTTTTAGCATATTTGTTTAGGGGTGGGGGTATTTTTCCCAGCTCTGTAAATGCAATCACGTCGATTGCTATATCAAAAAGTCATCGATTTACAACTATTAGGATAGGAAAATTCATTTAAATCGAACGAAGCGTTTTAAAGTTATTTGGGAAAAACTAACCGCTTTGTCGATTAATGTACGAATCGTCCTGTATATCTAATTTAAAGATTATTTAACAGATAACGTTATAAGCGGTAATTTTTATGATTATTTTATTTCATTCCACAGATTTCTAATAATTTCAGAATATGAAAGTTTCTTGATAAATGAGTAATAGGAAAAAATATTCTTCAAATAAATCGTTGATCTTTTTGTCTGAGTAGTATCATTTTTGTATTAATCTATTAAAGGAAAGGATTCTTGTTTCATATTTCGCATTACAAGGGTAGAATTCAGCGCAATATTATTCATCCATTCTTTACAAGAACAAGTCCCTGTAAATGGTTATGTTTAATTACTTTAATAAATTAATAATTGTCGGTAAAAAGCATATCCGTTGCCAAGTTAGCTTTGCAGGATATGTATAAATAAACGCATTGTTTGTTTTATTTGGAAGATGACGATATACGTGTTGTTAAAAATAAAAATAGTGGATAAAAGAGTATAGGCTAACAAATATATTATATTATTATATTATATTTTATGGTCCTATCTATATTCGCAGTGAATTGGAATTTTACGTGGGGATAACATCATGGGCGTCCGCAAAAGGTTTGTCAAGAAAAAACGATCGAAAACACGATTTACCGATTTTATGGCGCCATTGGGTGTCATCTGTGCCCCTCTTCAAAAATATGTGTCTTGCGCAAAACTGAAGATAGCAGTATAGTCAATTAGATCTATTGTAATGTTGTCTGACATTATTGCTGAAGTTTTTGAAATGTCAAGATCTATTAAAAATTATGTTTCCGATTGCCGAATGAATTTTAGGGACAACAGTTTTAGCAAATTTATTCCTCCAGTCCATAGTCAGGGAAAAGAACAACTTGATATGGTATATTAATACATAAATTAGTTTATATTAGACTGAAAACTCCCTTACTAAATTTATTTCAAATCCAAAAGCAACCTCGGAAGTGCCACAAGGGTCCTTTTAAATTTATTAACGATTCGTACGACTGCGACAAATATACTTACTGATACATTTTGTTTTAGGTTTGAGCACTACGGTCAGAAGATTACCGTCGATGACGTCGAATATGACATGACCCTGTGGGATACTGCCGGTCAGGAGGACTACGAACGGCTCAGACCCCTTTCATACCCACACGTAAGTTTTGGAATTGAAATATTTCCGAAGAGATAACCGCTTGTTGACGCTAAACATTTGATTAATATTTAAACTATAAATTCCCGTTTCCTTTGTTGACAATTTGTGATATTACCACACATTTATCTGTACAATCTTCATTTAATGGATCCGTTTGTACAGGGTGGACTTTGTTTGAGAAAAATACGTCCATATAAGACTGTTGACAAAAATTGCAACTGTGGCAATAACTTTTAATAGTCAATTATTTTCTTTCTTTAAGATTTTACCATATTTATCAACAAGAATGTTCATTTGGAATATGTCTTTGATCTTGTACTAATCCGCGCATATATTTTTTGCCGCATGTGCACTTTCACTGCACCGAAAATACACAGTTAATATATCTTCCATTTCACTGTTCGGGCAAACCGATATATTTTACTTAAATATGCCATAGTTTGCTAAAAATGTGAATTGAATACACTTAAAGGCGCTTGAAAGAGAAACACCGTCCGTGGAGATATAAAATCAAGATAAATTCGTTAACCCGACAACACTGTGTTGCCTTTCCCGTCCGAGAAATAATGATCGCAGAGTTCGGGGATACGCGGTTCATAACAGAACCGGACTCGGCTTACTAATGTAAATGTTTTAATGTAAATGTTAATGTATTGTTTTATGTAAATATAAACATATTTACATAAAATATGTCAGTAGAATAGTACTAAAAATGAAAGAATAAAAAGAATTCCTAAAAGTGAAGATACCGTACAAAGTTTAGAGTTCGGACAATGTTTCAGTAGTGTACAGGGTGTTAAAAAAGAGTGTAAAATACTTAAAGAGGTAATAGTATGAACCAAAATAAGCAGAAAAGTCTTAATAAACATGGGTCCGCAAAGTAACGGTTGCGGAGATATGGACCACTATTCGTTTTTCAAACATTTTATTTTATTAGGAATAAACCGACAAAGGAAGCTTTTAACAAACAAAAAACAAAGTTACAGAAGATGTTCAAAGTGCCCTCCGTCCATTTCCAAGCAGGCACGACATCTTCGTCTCAACGATATTCGAACTCTTTCGAAAACACCCTCCTTGGTTTGGATTTCTTGACACTTTTGATTAATCCGTAGCTGCAGCTCTTCCAGGCTATTTACAGGAGTACCATACACTAATGTCTTCAAATATCCCCAAACAAAGAAATCTAGAGGGTTCAGATCAGGCGATCTTGGAGGCCATAAAACAGGTCCGGCCCTTCCTACCCATCTATGTGGAAAAGTTTGGTGTAAATGCTCTCTAACGGCCATGGAAAAATGAGCTGGAGCACCATCATGCTGGAACCACATTTGTTGCCTCTGATTCAAAGGAATGTCTTCCAAAAACTCATACAGTGTGTTCTGCAGAAAGTTGAGGTAAGCAGCGCCTGTTAATCGGTTTGGTAAAACAACAGGACCTAGAAACCTGTCACCTACAATACCCATCCAAATGTTTAATGAAAAACGTGCCTGATGTCCAGATTCTATTAGAGCATGAGGATTTTCGTCGGCCCAAATATGCGTATTGTGAAAATTAAACACTCCATTTCTTGTGAACCCGGCCTCATCAGTAAAAAGAATGTTTGCAAGAAAACGAGGGTCTTCAGCATCATGACGTAGAAACCAGCGGCAAAAAACCAAACGTGCTTGATGATCATTTATTGGATTTAAGGCCTGTACTCGTTGCACATGGTATGGATAAAGCAGTTGCTCGTGAAGGATTCTCCAAACAAGAGGACCACTAATTCCTACCTCGGCTGATATTCTCCGCACACTCGTACCTGGATTCTGCTCTACCAGTGCTAGAATTTCTTCTTCTGCTCTAGGAGTGGATACCGACCTTGGTCTTCCGGATAAATGGCACTGTTTGCTCAAGGAACCGGTATCACGCAATCTTTGGTGAATTCTTCCAAACATGCGTTGTGAAGGAATCTGGCGATTTGGATAAGCGTCAACATAAAGACGTCGCGCTTCGGTGGCGTTCCCATTAGCACGACCATACATGAAATGCATGTCTGTTAATTCTGCGTTAGAGTAACCAGCCATAGCGAAAGAAAACTTGTGCACTGAGAACAACTGTCAAATACGTACTGTTTATTTCACTAAACATCAACCAACTATTATAAGAAAATACACAACGTTTTTGCAAAATAAAAAAAGGGGCTAAAAAGCATAAAACATTCCATATCTCCGCAACCGTTACTTTGCGGACCCATGTTTATTGAGACTTTTCTGCTTATTTTGGTTCATACTATTACCTCCTTAAATATTTTACACTCTTTTTTTAACACTCTGTATAGTATATCATTTATATCATTTAATAGTAACTTGTGCTAGAAAAGTGACGTTAAACTCAAACATTTGTTTTTAAACCCTAAAAACGTGCTTATTTGGAAACTCACTCGAAATTGCAAAGTATTTACCTGCTACAATTGTTTTTATTATTCTTCACGTTCTCAAAATCTATAATTTATATCGCAAGTTGTACCCATCTCCTGGTAAAATATGCATGTACTTTGTGTTGTTACAGACCTGCTGCTTCTTGATATGTTTTTCCGTCGACAAAAACTTGGCGTCTTACGACCACGTTGTGATGAAATGGGCTCCCGAAGTCAGACATTTCAGTCCCAACGTGCCGATAGTTTTAGTAGGTAAGTAGTTAAGTTTAATTAAGCCAACAAAACGTTAAATTACAACAATAACACAGGCACACAAAATAAAAAAAAACTGGGTTGACCTGGGAGACCCCATAAGAATGTATTTTGACATGCTGAACCATTCCATTGCAACCACAGTTTGACCATCTAAAATTCTGTAATCTTGAATGGAAAAATTCAAAGCCGAAATTATTGATTTCGCTGGTAAGGTATTCTGTTGTCCTCGAACGAAATGCAAGTGGGTTTCGCACTCTTGAACTATTTGAACTACTGTTTTCAATTTTTCTTTATTTTTCTTTTCAGTAACCAATAGAAGTACCTATGTCATCATATTCCGTCTGCCCGGGTATCTTAGTTCAAATTCTTTCAGATCTTGATGAAGGTGTTTACCCTGCTCGTCTTTATAATTACCAAGTTTTCAGGAAAGTACTTCAGGTGGGAAACCAAGAAAAAATTTTTACATTAAACATCCTAATCGTTGGTAGTTTCTTATGATTTCTGCTACAACAGTATCAAAATCGTAGCTTTTGTAGTTGTCTAAAGTGTTAAACGACGTTGTTCTCTTGATAACTGTCATTGTCGTTTTGAAATGTTTATCGTGAAACATTTTTCAGATTTGAGATCACATAAATTTGGAAACTGACTAGTTAAATATAGGAAACAATTTCCGTTTTCATCCAAAGCCTTTACAAATTGTTTCATCAGTTCAATTTTTATCTGGAGCTGAAGAAGCAGTATTTTCCAAGGGTCGACTATTCTATGTACACAAGAAGAAGGAAGATACTTGGTAAATCGTGACTGCTGTTCCAAAATGACTGATATGACTTTCAAATCACCACAAACTTGCCCACTATGCTCTGCATATTTAATTTTCTGTAGAACACTCACGTTTTCATTTTCTTTTATAGTCCAACCAAATTCATAACTGATAAAAAAGCTTTATAAATATACATGAAAAGAAAAAATACACGCAGTTTGTTACATATACGATTGATCGACATATACAATAGTAGTATTACAGTCTTCTCCCCTTTCCCTCAATAGCGCGCATCATCGAGCCGAGCAAGCAATATACGGGGCCCATAAAATTAAAGTTTAATGAAAGAAAATGGGACCAATCGTTGCGACTATTTTTTATATTGAAGTATTGGCGATTTTTCGTAAAAAAATTTTTCTCGGCCCCTGTTGGTCGTAGGACAGACTTTTTTTTTAAAAAACTCGTGAAAATATGTCAACTTTTGAATGGCAGTATCGACATTTTGATACGAATTGAAATCAAAAAGTTAAAAAATAACGATTTTTCGGTCGTTTTTTGCGATATTTGAAGTCGATTTCACGCTCGCACAATATTTGCACATAATAGTGTAATTATTAAAGAAAATGTTAAGCCCAATTCCGTTCCTAAAGATGTGGCGGCCTATGAATTATGGCGATTTTACAAAAACGCTTTTTTTTTCGAAAAACTCGATTTTTGCAAAAACTATAAGATATTTTTCAATTTTGAAAAAAGGATTTTATTTTGCTCACTAAGAGCTATCCTTTAACCAAGTTTCATAAAAAATATTTATTTTTGAAAGATAGTTATTTGAAAAAATTACGATTTTTAGCGTTTTTTTTGCAATAACTAATTAATTTATTTATCGATCAAAACCGTTTGGGCTTATTCGATCCGTATTAAAAATTCCTACAACTTTCGTCTGAAACATTTTTTTCTAAAGTGTTTAGTCTTTTTTATAAATGAAAAAAACAGTTTTTTGAGAACTTTGAGCGCCATTTTGAAAATGAAGCCCAAAAATTCAGGTGGGGTAAAGTAGTTCACTGAATTCTACGGAATTTTTCCTAATTTTTACATATTTTCAATTACTGAACTATTTTTTGACAAAAAATGAGATATTTTCGACGATTTTTGATTGGACTATTAATGTGATTGAGTGTGGGACAGGCGTATTTACTTCCATGAACAATGTTCGGATTTGTAAACGTTATTCATTCATCAAACCAGGAACATCTGTAGAGTACACCACCAAAAAGCCCTCGTCTTCTTTATTGAAGAACTTTCCACACTCCTTTTCTTCATCTCTGTAAAAAATTTATTTCGTTCCTGATTCTACCAATCTTCAACCCTTTAATTCCGCAGCCAAAAATTCGACCGCATCATTTGGAAGGCCTATTATTCTAATCAGATCATTCAGCTCTTCCTGATTAAAAGAATCTGGATGTTTTATTTCACCTTCTGGGACGTATTCGACCTTACTTCCTTCTGTTTCACCGTCCTTTCCGCTTCAACAATGTCTTTGCTTTGGATTCCCCCTTCTTCGGACTGAAACTCTAACAGGAACATCGTCCACCGATGAACTGACGTCACCCTTTCATCACCCGATCTTTGATCTAATCTGATTTCTGATCTGAAGAAAGACTTTCGCATAATATCGAGCGTTCAAATAAAAACGTTTTCGAAGTTGGCTCTGACACAGTGGACGTAGGGAGTAGCTTATAGCGACCAACTTAACCTCATTTCTCAACGAGCTGTATAGCAGCTGTCAGTTTCAATAACGTTAATGACTATATAACTTTATTTTAAAGAATAATCGTGATAACAATAACAAACAATTAAAGGAGCTGCGGAAAGTGTCCCCCTCCTTGTTATAACAATAAATTAAAGCAGCTGCTGAAAGTGTCCCCCTCCTTGTTCCAAGCACTTTTCACACCTGTTCCTCAAAGAATTAAAGACATTTTCTAAGATGCTCGGGGTATTGTTAATTTCACGAATCTTGTCTATAAGTCGAGCCTGCAGATGGTTTAAATCAGGAATAGGCAGTTCAAAAATAGTGTTTTTAAGGTAAGGCCACAAAAAGAAATCACACGGCGTAATATCACATGACCTCGGTGGAAATTCATGTTCAGCATTGAGACTTATTAGTCGATTTTGGAAAACTTCCCTCAACATATTCATCGTCTCGCCTGCCGTATGTGCCCTTGCGCCATCTTGTTGAAAGTAAAAGTTTGTAATTTCGTTTTCTTCCAGCTGGTTAACAAAAGGAGCGATAATTTCTTCTCTATACCTTTGCGCAGTAAGAGTACCATTAAAAAAAATAGGTCCATAAATCCTCCTTCGATTGAGAGCACACCAAACTCCAATTTTTTGAGCGTGTAGAGGGCCCTCGACAAAAAAGTTATCTGGTTTTTCAGAAGACCACATTCTCATATTCTGTGAGTTTACGTAACCACTTAAATGAAACCAGGCTTCATCAGAAAAAAAGGTGATATTATGAAGTTCACCGTAGTTGTTTAAAAACCATTCACAAAATACAGCCCGTCGCGGAAAATCAACTTCATGAAGTTCTTGCTGACAAGTTAAACGATAGGAGAACAAACGCAAATCTTTTTTTAACACTGTGTGGCAGGTACCGACTGATACTCCCACCATTTGTGATAAAACACGTACAGAAGTTCTTGGCGCATTTTCCATTATTTGTTGGACATTTTCTTTTAATTCTTCAGTCCGCTTTTTAGGTCGGCCGCTTCCTTCTTTTCTTGTTACACTGCCCGTTTCACGAAAAACATTAACACAACGCTGAACTGCACTTTGAAAAATTTTGTACTCAACAACGCCGGGAAATTGATTTTGAAATTCTATGAAACATTCCTCAATAGAATACTTCCATATTCCATCAATCTTGCGTCCATTTCTAAAGTAGGACTCTATGATAAACACTTTTTGTTCTTGAGAAAACACCATTTTAAACGCTTTTTAAAACGAAAATATTCAAATTGATAGCGGCGATATAGCGCTTTGACAGATGACGTTTAAGTTCATTTGCTATACGCTACGCCCTACGTCCAAATTTTCAGAACCAACTTGACCACGTTTTTATTTGAACGCTCGTTATTTTCGATCTATTTTTTTTTTGTTGAACCAGGAAGTTTAACCAATGTTAGTTTCGTGCTCAGTGTTGATACCCACTAGTCCATTAGCCAGTTTCAGTGATTTACCCAAATGCTGCAGTCAAACTAACTACGGATTCGGATTCAGTGTGTCAAAATACATAAAGATAGCCTAGTGGTGTCTCCAGATCAATCTATTTTTTACTTAATTTACCCATAAACAGTCCAGAGATCGAGGACTTGTACAGTAGTGGGGACAGCATATTATTATTACGTGTTTTTCTTCCAAGCAATGTATTTTTGTTAAAACATGAAATACAAATGATTTTCCCTCCCCAGCGACGAAAACAGACTTGAGGGACGACCCCAGTATAGCTTGCTATTCGCCAGAGGAAGGCCGAAAGCTGAAAAGGAAGGTGAAAGCCCAAAGTTACATGGAATGCTCGGCGTTACGTAACGAGGGTTTGAAAGAGGTTTTCATAGAGGCCATCAGGGTGTACCGGAAGAGTAAAAATAAGAAACCTGCCACGAGGCAGTGTCAGATTTTGTAACGATATTTATGTTTTGTATACTTTATTAATGATATGAATACTTATGCATAATCCGTTCGTCCAGCCTTGTCTTAAAAGTTTCGTCGCAGATAAAAAAATCTCACTCCACCTCATGTCTACAAAGTAGCAACTCATCAAATGGGGCGAAGTCACGCAAATATGAAATTAAAAAATAAAACACAAAACCTTATTTTTTTTTAAATATTGACCAACTTTTAAGCAAGGCTAGCTAAACGTCCTAGAATTGTAAAAGATGATTTTTTAACAATTGTTTTGTTATTATTTAAGAGCTTTTTCAAAATAAAATACTCCACATATGTAAAGCTATTACTCAATGTTGCGTGTTTACCAGTTTTATTCACTTAACCTCAACAATTAATATTTTTGAAAAACGTGTTTAAACGGCTTTCGTAAGTATACAACTTTCAACGCAGGAATGTATTGGAGGTTGCAGCATTTCAGCGAGACTTAACAACTCCCCCCTACAAAGAAAAGTGTTTAAATGTATTGCATAAAAATATATTTCCGTATAATCTATTAATCTATTTAATTTCACCCATATAAAAATTCTTCGAGGCACTTTTCGCTCATAGCGTTAATGGTTTCTTCTTGCCCAAGGGGACTGTCAGTCGGGGAATTACCTAGGCACAGCGATCCCACTTCCGGCAAAATGGGCGACAACACCATGGAATACAAATCGTGCTCGGAACCTGTATACGCCATTTTTTCAAGATTACCTGCAATAAATTTTATTATTTGTTAAAAATATTGGTATAGATAAATAAAAATATAAATACTATTGACAATATATTATAAAATATAGTACTCGTCGTAAAAAATTAAGAT